CCCAAGGCTCCATAATTCCAGCTGATGGGAGATGAAAAAGAACCGAGGGAGAAAAAGCCCAGAAATCCCAGCCTTGGCCATCTCGTAAGGAACTGTTTGTCTGAGCTCATGTTGAACCTTTTCCCAGGATTTTCCAGCCTTTCTTTTATTCCCCGCTGTGCCGACTGCCAGGACAAACGTGTGGATTTGGGAGGCTCCTCTGCAGCCCTGCAGGAGCAGCCTGGCTGCACTCGGGGCTGGGGAGAGCCCAGTCTGTCCCTGCCTTGGGACAGAGCGAGGCCAATCCTGCCCTGGGAAGGGCAAATCCATGGGATGAGTTGCAGGGAATTTTAGAGCTGGAGTTTTAGCTGCTGGACAGGGTGTGGGAGTAGAATGTTTTATATGGTTGAACTGGGTGATCTCAGGGGTCTTTCCCACTGTAAATGTTGGTGTGATTTTCATGCTGCCTTTGGGGTGAGGTGTCCCTGGGAGTCCCAGGGTGGGTGCAGGGAGAACAGGGAACTGATCCCAAATCCCCTGGACACATCCCAGGCAGCACAGCTGGGTCAGCTCCAGTGCTGATGGAGCATCTCCAGACTAAAAAACTCTTTAGTCTGGGGTGGTTTATACCACCAAATGCTCTAAATATTAATTGAGATGATTCTGCAGAGCCTCCTTGATTAAAACACCATTTTTTCCATGCAAAAAACTGGATTGTCAGGTTTTTGTTCTGGGCTGTTGCACTCCAGCTCCGAGTCCCAGTGTGGGACCAGGGCCAGCCTCAGCTCAAAGGCTTTTTCACTTTGAAAGAATAGAGGGAAGGAAGAAAGAAGCAGAAAATATATTAAAATGCAAGATTTTATATTAGTTATGTGATCCCCTGGGAGCAACCATAAAATTATGTGGCTTTTTCGTAGCCATTTACTATTCAATATAAAAAGGGGAGTTACCATAGCAACCACTGCATCATCTGACATCTGATACCTTGGCGAAACAGGGAGCTCTTAAATCAACTCCCCAAATTTCATATGAAAGTAAATACATTTTACTGGTGATTTCAAGGCAAGTTTGCCTTGTGACAAGGAATGTGGCACCATTTCCCCAGCTCAGCTCGTGGCCTTTGGGCCCCATCCTGCAAACTCAGGTCCTGGAGCTGACATTACTCAGCAGTGTGAGAGATTAGAAGTTAGAGGAGTTTGTTTTCCTAAGTGAAATTAAATGAAAGGAGCAAATGACACCATTTCTTTTAAAATTTCTTGTTGACTGGGGAATGCCAAAAAAATGAAGAAGTTGAATTCTGTAACAGCTGAAGTTCCAGCTGCAAGTGTGTAAGGAGCACAAAGGAGGGAGACAGGGGGGTGAGAATAAAAATTAAAATAAAAATTAAAAGGATATTTGTGAAAGCTCACATTGGACTTTGGGGTTGGGCTCTCACACTGCTCAGCATGTGTTGGGGTAGCAGTGACATCACCCTGGGGATGCTCTGGCTTCTCTGCCAGCACCAAGGCAGTTCCAGGGCCAGAGGGAGCAGCCAAGAGGTGCAAAACATTTCCCAAAATATCCAGGAGCTCTTTGGGTCTCAGCTGGTGCAGCCCAGGAGGGTCCCCACCATGGGCTCCCTGCCAACCTATCCCAAATTACCTACTTTTTGTACAAAAACAATTTAAAATTGTGTATGACAGTGTCTGACACTGAATTTATCTCCCCATGAAAAAGCTAAGTGCAGGAAAATACAAAGTTATGGTTTCAGCATCACCTTTGAGGCCAAGGGCTCAGTGCTCAGTGCTCCATCCCATCAATAAAAATACTTCTCATTTTTGACACAATTCTTCAAGTTAATCTTTCCACTTATGTTCGTCACTGGAGTGGAATTGACATTTGTTTTGTGTATTTTTAGCTTCCCAAAGCAGCCTTGAAAACTATTTAGCCTGAATTGTTGGCATTTCACTTTGCACAGATTTTGAATGCACAGGGATTACACCAAGCACAAGTAAGGAGGATTTGTGTGCAGACACAGCCTCTGTGCAGGAGTTCTTGTTCTTAAATAAAATAAAATAAAATGCTGGTTTTATGCAGAGAGTGGTTGCTGACCCCCAAAAAGATGTGGGAAATCCCCTGTGCCACACACTGAAATTCCAACAGGAATTACATTGAGACACGTGGGCAAATATTCACTTTTTGTGCAAGGGACAGAAATGTTCAAACTTGTAAATGCAGTGGCAAAATTAGGCCATTTGGGGTTTTTTTTGCATGATGAACCTCCAAGCAGATCTGCAGCCACAACAGAAACACTGAGCATCTGTCAGAAATCCTTTCCTGAGTTCTTCTATCAGGCTCCAAGAAGTTCATTTTGGAAATTGTTTGGAGTCCTTGACTTTGAAGATATTAAAAATACATTTATCTTTTTAAAGGGGTAATTATAGCCCAGCCTGTTTTGGAGGGGGAACACAGGCTATTCATCCAGGGTGTATCAAAACCTGGGCTCCTAATTTTCCCTTTGGGAATCTCAGTTTAAAGTTGTTTTCTTCATCCTGAAGCTGAGTTGCTCTGGGGAAAAGTCACCCATCCTGGGCCGTGTGGGACAGACTGTGAGGAGAGCTCAGCCCAGCTTTTGCTCCAGACAGCCATTATTTATCAGCATGGCTCAACTCTTAATTACTGAAAATTGAGATGTCCCTTCTTTTACGAAAGTCCTGTCCCTCGGGTGTTCCTTGGCTTTATGAGTGGCTGATACATGAAAGCAGAGAAAAGGCTCCAGCCCAAAACCTGAGCCGACCCTCTCAGATCTACACCCTGCACATCAACAGCCACAAAGTGGTTCAGAGGCTTGATGTAAAGCTGATAAAATGCCAAAAATTCCTCATTCTCTCTCTTGGGGAGCAGGGAGGGCTGTCTGGAAAACGTCAACAGTAAAAATTACATTTAAGTGGTGCATAATGCAGCAGCTACTGTGGGCAGGGGGACCTGCAGCAGATTGAGGGGGTTTGGAGAGCACAAGCTCCATGCACTGCCTCCCATCCCAGCTGGAGCACCTGGAGCTGCTGCTTTGAGTTCTCCTGGACATGGGAATCATGGAGAAGAAAGGGTTTCTGAACACACAGAGCAATCACAGAGCACAAATCTTCTGCTTCTTATTTAAAAGTGGCTAAAACCATAACTAGTGTGAAGTGATGCTGCTGTGCTGCAGTGTGCACATCCATCATCCATCCATCCATCCATCATCCATCCATCCATCCATCCATCCATCCATCCATCATCCATCCATCCATCGTCCATCCATCCATCATCCATCCATCCATCCATCCATCATCCATCCATCCATCATCCATCCATCCATAATCCATCCATCCATCCATCATCCATCCATCATCCATCCATCATCCATCCATCCATCCATCCATCCATCCATCCATCCATCCATCCATCCATCCCTCCATCCATCCCTCCATCCATCCATAATCCATACATCCATCCATCATCCATCTATCATCCATCCATCCATCATCCATCCATAATCCATCCATCCATCCATCCATCCATAATCCATCCATCCATCCATCATCCATCCATCCATCCATCCATCCATAATCCATCCATCCATCATCCATCCATCCATCATCCATCCATCTATCCCAGCTTTGTTCTTCATCACTCTCCGGGGAAGAGGAATGGAGGGAGGGGGATGTGGAGGTATCTCACTGCTTTTGGAATTTTTTTACCTTTTAATCTTCTGCTGTTCCTTTTTTATGCTCCCCCCGTCATTTTCATCCCCCTCATCTTGCTTATTGTATTTTGTTTTTCTTCATTTTTCCTTCCAAAGCACTCACTCCACTGTGTGTTAGTTCAGGGCTCTCCTGCAGCAGCAACAGCATAAGAACGGCTAAATCCTCTTTTTATTCCTAATTTTTACCCCACTGGGCAAGGGGAACCTGGCACAGCNCCCACCAGTAGAAGACCCCACCCATCACAGTGTCTCCTCCTTGGCCCTTTGCCTGTCTCTGTCCCTGTCCTGGCCTTTGGGCACCCCAGGGGTGAGAGATTCCTCTCTGGAATTCCTCTCCCGCAGGAGCAGCTGGGCTCAACGAGCCCCTTTGGGAGTGGAAGGAGGAGATTGGAAAGGATTATGCTGAGAAAACAAGGCAGCAGTATTTCTTCTTTGCCCAGTAAAAGGAATAAAGGCTTTTCTTCAAACCATCCCACTTCTTCAAAGAAATTCCATTTATTGAAGCCTTTTCTCCTGCAGTGTGTGGGCACATCCCTTCTTTGTGGGATCTCTGCTGGGATGGGATGAGCTTGGGCAGCCCCTCTCAGCCCAAAAAGCTCCACCAAAAAAAAACCCTTCACTGGAGCCAGGCTGTGATCCCTGCTGGACCTCAGCCCTTCCCCAGCCCCCCTGGCACCCTCCATAAAAAATCCCTTGGCTGCTGCTGGCCCTGCCTTTCATTGGCCAAGACTCGAGGAGGGGAGAGGTGCCCGGACCAGCCACCCACACTCAGCCACTCCACAAACAGCAGCAAAAACCAATCCGCTGCTTTGTAGTTTGATTTTTTTTTACCAGCAGATAAAAGAAAAATAGCTTTCTAGTTTTTTTTCCCCCTGTGGTTTCTGTGTTGGGTTTTTTTTCCTCTGCTAAACTGTGTATTTTTCAGCTCAGTAAAGTATTTATTAGGAATCTTTACAGACCAGGCTGCTGGTGAATTATATATTGTACCGCTTCGGCGTGAGCTGGGGGAAAAAAAAAATTATGACATTTTTTCCACCCAGACTGATTCTATCCAATAGCAATAGGAAAAATGAGGGTTTACCAGGAAAGCTTTAAGTTCAGCTCTGCTTGCCAGAGCTGCAGATACCTTTTGTGCCTTGCTTCATGTGCATTTCTAGAATGTAAATTTTCCTTTTGAACTCACAAGTGAAGCTAAAGCTGAGCTCTGCTGGGTCCTGCTGCAAAGAGTCCGACAGCCATGGCTCGTCTCTTTTCTTTTTTGAATGGATTTCTCACTTTAGCTTCAATTGTTTTTCAGATCATCCTTAATTCAATGCACAAATACCAGCCACGGCTGCACATCGTGAAGGCGGACGAGAACAACGCGTTTGGCTCCAAGAACACGGCTTTCTGCACCCACGTCTTCCCAGAGACCTCCTTCATTTCTGTCACCTCCTACCAGAACCACAAGGTAGGCAGCTTTTGGGGCTACAAATGCTTTATTTCTGGCCAGGAACTTTGTGAGAGAATCTTCCTGTTCTGCTGCTTTAAAGGACAAGTTTCCATCCTGGCTGTAAGCACGAGGGATGAGCCAGGACACAGCAGGGATGTTGTTGGTAACAATATTTTGGCAAAGCCTGGGCTCGCCTGACTCGCTGTGCTCATAGAGCTGAGATGTCATTCAAACAGCAAGGCACATCTAATAATGACCACTAAAGCTTGCTCATAAATCTGCAGTGACCAGTAATTACAGAATGTGTGTTTAGTGAGACAGATGAGGAATGTGCCCATAAAACGGGAGCTCAGAGCTGCCTCTGCGGTTTGCACGTGGGTGCAGGAGGGGCTGGGGGTTGTGAAGTACAAAGGGCTCAGCTCTGGGTGGGTGTCAGGGACACCTGTGTGCTGCAGGGGCTGTTTGTGGTTTGAGGGTGGTGGTACCTGTGCCATGGGCAGAGTTCTGACTGAGGGTTGGATCCCAGCAGGACTGATAGCGGTGGGACAGTGAATTGTCACTTCCCTGTGTCACCTCACCAGGACAGGGACAGGGGAGAATGACTGCAGGGATGGAAAGGCTTCAGATTCTATCCTGCTACTGCTCTGCCTTTGCACAAGCTCCTGCTCCCAGGCATTTTCTTAATGGCAAAGTCCAATTGCTGTACAAGGAATAATTAATAATTTAATTAGAATTTTTAAAGTGCATCAAGATTCATAACTAAAGGTGCAGAGTGAGGTGGCACTGCCAGAGCCCTCCTGTCACCCTGAGTGTGAAACCTGCCATGTGTAACTGTACCCATTCCTTTCCTACACATTCATAGGAAAATCCTGCAGGAACAGGAACAAGTGTGAAATTCTTCCTCCCCAATAACCTGACCAGAGCTTTTCCTCCCAAGTAGGATGCCTGTGTGCCCTTTGATGCTTGAAGCATAGAGTCCTTGCAAAAATGTTGCAATTAGTGAGCCAGTTAAGAGTCTCAAAGCAGAAACATGGATGTGGTATGGTCAGGCAGGGTGGGGGAAAAGGGCCCATTAGGATACTGAAGGTAGGAAAGTTGTAGCTGTTGTAAAATGACCAATTGCCCAAACATGGTTAACCAAAAAGATCCAAATGAGCTTATATTTAATACATATTTAAAATGTCTGCTGTCAATGGTGCCTTTCATCCCTAAAGTGCTCCATAAATTCCTCACTTGCAGTGTCACTGCTGTCCAGCTGTGCTGTGGGGGCTTATGGCTGGGGGGCAGCACAGGGTGGACCTGACAGATTTAGGGAAAATGTCCCATATCAGCCCAAATTCTTTAGTGAAAATCCTGTGAGGAGCCTCTGTGGTGCTGCCCAGCTCCTGGCCTGGGGTCTGCAGGCTGGGGGGATGGAATGGACACTGCCCTGAGCAGGGGACACAGGGCCCTGCAGCAGGTGACAGCAGGCAGAAGGTCTCACCGTGACCTCAGCGTGGCCTCGAGAAAATCTCAGCCTCAGAGGAACACCTGAATGGTTTTATTTATTCTCTTACACATCAACAATTAAAACTGTGGTCTGGGTTTCTTTTAGAAGAAACTAACTGAACTATTTTTAGCTCAGAAATCTCCTGCTCACAAGAAGTGTGGTTGTAAATAATTGTGTTCCTAAAGAAAAAAATGAGGAAGTTGAGGATAGAGGTTACCCCTGGCACAGGTCAGTGAGGAAGGTGTGTGCTCACCCCAAATCCCCTCCTGGGCTGCATGAGGCCAGGGGAAGGTGACAAGGAGGGACTGAAGCCCTGATCCTGCTCACATCAGAGGAAAACCACGATCACTAAATAACAAAATGAAATTAAGATGTACAAACCTGCTGTCAGGCTGTGGGTTTGGAAGGGTCCTGCGCTTCTTGTGGTTCATCAGCTGCTTGAGCTTCCCTGGAAGAGCTGGAGCCCTGGAGGCTGCTTAAATTCACATGTCACCACCTTCCCCTCCAGCACTGATAGCGGCCAGCTGTGTTCTCAGGAGTTTTTTTGGTAAGGGATATTTTTCAACATTGCTAAAAGTGTAGCTGTTAGTAACAGCAGTGCTCATGCAAAACCATCCCAAAGCAGAACTGGCTGCTCTCCTCAGCATGAAAATGGGATACAGGGGGCTCAGGGCAGGGAGAGAGGCTGTGCAGGGATAAAACACTGTTTGAGCTGGGATGCTTTTCACAGAGTTAAAATGACTCAATGGTGGCCATAAAGGTGTATTAAATTGTTATGGGAATTAGGAAGAGCCACACCATGACAAGCAGGGGTCTCTAACATGGAACCATAAGAAACCTTTTAAATCAGACAAATAAATTCTCTCTATCAGGAGTCCAGAAAAAGAACACAGGGCCTAGAATAAGATCCAGGCTCTGCATTTCACAGGGCTCATCAAGACTGGGCCCCTCGAGACCCACCAGCTCAGCCCTTCTGCTGCTGCACTTTTGGTCTGATTTGCTTTCAAACACTTTATTCTTGGTGTTTTTTTCTTTTAAAGATAACCCAGCTGAAAATTGAAAACAACCCCTTTGCCAAGGGCTTCCGGGGCAGCGACGACAGCGACCTGCGCGTGGCGCGGCTCCAAAGGTACCTCCCTCGTCACCCTGCTCCTCACGGGCTGCAGCTCTTTGGAGAAGCAGCTGGAAGGTGCCAGAGCCACGGGGCACCGTGTTCCCTTGTGCCTGAATGCCACTGATATCCCTCAAAAGCCCTTCCTGTAACTCTGACACGCTCGGTGCTGTCAGCTCTTGCCCACACCCAGAGGAGTGCAGTGAGTTCATCGTCTGAAGCAAAGGGTGGTGAAGTCATTGGCTGGAGATGCTCTGGGGGAGCCAAACCAATATTTCCTCATTCTGCTGATGAAATTCTGGTGATGCTGATCGCTGCCTAACCGGTCTTAATTTTTCTCACCTCTTTTAGCAAAGAATATCCAGTAATTTCCAAAAGCATCATGAGGCAGAGGTTGGTGTCCAGTCATGGCCAGCTGTCAGCAAAGCCAGATGTTAACCCACTCCATGGCAATCACCAGACCCTCCAGCATTATCAGTATGAGAATGGAGCTCACATGCAGTTTGCAGCTTCGGATACTCAAGATCTGCCACTCAACACCTTCACAGCACAGAGAGATTCAGGGCTCTTCTACCATTGTCTAAAAAGAAGAGGTAACTCGAGTTCACAGCTAGAAAAATATTACAGAAAATAAACCTGAGAGCGTGAGTTCAGTTTGGATTGGTCTCTGGGGCTTTGATCTTCAAAAATACCATTGTGGTTGGAGTGTTTTGGAGGGTCAGGAGGCAAGAGCTGCTGTTTGGGGAAGTTTTTAGTGGGTTTGTCCCATAGAAGGTAAATTCAGACTCTGAGACAGAGGTGAAACAATTAATTAGAACGTGTAATTCAAATGGCATAGAGCTTCAACGGGAAATTATCCATTGTTAGGATCAGCTGGAATAAAAATTGTTTGCAGGAGGCCATTAGCATTACAAAAATTCTACATTTTCCAAGGCAAAGCCATGAGCAATTCCCTCAATGTCTGCAGAGCAGTGGGACTGTGGGAGCTTGGTATGAGCAGCCCTTTCCTCTCATCCACTAATTCTCAATTTTAAGTGAGATGTGACTGCATTCTCTTCCTTTTAGTCCAGCATCAGATGAGATCATGGCATGTTTTAAGTTAAATGGAAAAATTTTGCACAGAAGAAAAAAATCCTTCTATTTGCATGTCTCACTGCCTGCTAATTTATTTAAGCTGGGAGAATCCTCTGATCATGGCTAAATGAAGAATCTAACAGCACCAGTAATGAGGGCTGCAAGGCAAATGTGTAATTTTAGCAGATGTTTAATATGCAGATGAATTCACTAATTCATCCAGAGAATATTCCTAATAAGTAACAGAAAGCTGCTGGGGAACAGGGCCAGGGTCCTGGCAGGAGGAGAGGGGCTGAGCAAGGCTGAGGAAGGGCTCCTGACTGGGAAAGGGCTCCTTTATCTGGAAATATTTCTGCAGCTTTTGACGTGAATATCTGGGAAATGTAGAGCCATTTTTGCAATGACAGGAAGGCAGGCTGTGATAAGACCCTTTAAGAGACTTCTTGAATTTGTCAGGAGGAGCCGTGCAGGAGTGTCAGGGCCCTCCGTTATCTGGAGGAACGTGGAGTAATCCCTGATGTGAGAAGAGACTCTCACTTAAGCTGACAAATGTCACCGGAGTGCTTTGAGGCCGGGGGGATTAGCCTGACATTTGCAGCACAATGTCTTTTTGATGTTGTACATTGTTTTCCCAAACTAAGATGGTTTAAGTGGATTAAGCCGAGAAAGGGCACCAGTTTAGCGAAATAATCGCGGCCTCCAAGGGGACTGCCCGGCCCCGGCTCCCAGCAGAATTCCTGAACGCCAATTTTTCTTGCAGAAAGCGCTCGGCACCTGGACCTGCCCTGCAAACGCTCCTACCTGGACGCCTCCTCCTCGGTGGGGGACGATCATTATTTCCGCTCGCCGCCGCCCTACGAGCAGCAGATGCTGAGCCCGTCCTACTGCGGGGAGGTGGCTCCCCGGGAGGCCTGCATGTACTCTGGCTCCGGCGCCGACATCGCCGCCGTCTCGGCCGTCGACGATTTGCCTCCTCCGCCGCCGCCGCTGAGCTGCAACATGTGGACTTCAGTCGCACCTTACACCGGCTACAGCGTGCAGACCATGGACACTGTCCCCTACCAGCCCTTCCCCGCTCACTTCCCCGCCGCCCCCATGATGCCGCGGCTCCCGGCCATGGCGGGCCAGGGCTCGCAGCCGCCGGGGAACGGCCCCTTCAGCGTGTACAACCAGCTGGGCCCGGGCCGGGAGCGCGGCCCCGCCTCGGCCTTCCCCAGGGAGAGGGGACACCCGGCCGTGTGCGAGAGGAAAGCGCCCTCCCCGCACCTGAACGCGGCCAACGAGTTCCTGTACTCGCAGAGCTTCTCGCTGTCCAGGGAGTCCTCGCTGCAGTACCATTCAGGGATGGGGACTGTGGAGAACTGGACCGACGGGTGACCCCCGGGCCACCGCGGCCTCACTGCTCCGGGACAGCTCAGTGTTGATACCTGTGGGTAACTTGCACTTGGGTGAGACACGTGTGCGTTTCCAGAGGGATTTGTGTGGGTGAGGAGCTCGAATCTTCGGGCACGCGGAGAATTCCACCGCCCGGCTCAGTGGGCTGGATCCATCGGGCTCTTAGTGACTCCCAAATAAATTCATTCTCGTGTCTTCATCCAGTAGAAACCATCTTCATGACTAACGAGTGACGTAGCTAGTCATGTTCTTTTGCTTGTAATGTTAAACATCCGTGAGCAAATTTTGGATATTTGGGAAAAATATGAGCTTTACTTTTACGGTCCTTGGCTCATGAAGCCACAACTCCCGAAGCTCCGAGGGAAAAAGCCATTTGCTCGGTTGCATAGCTCAAGGACTGCCGTGGCAGCGCTTCTTTGGCCCTTTGGCTCCGGAGAGGTTCCTGGTTCCTCGGGCAGGGCGGGAGCGGCGGCAGCTCCGGGAGCTGCGGGGCCCGGGCACAGCGGAGAAGGCACCGATGCACAAATGTCTCTTCTTGCCCCCACAGCCACATCGCTCCTGGCTGTGGGAAGCGAAGATGTGAAGAGTTAAGCCCGAGGCCAAACAGCAAATTAACTGCAGCGTTAGGAACAGACCCAGTGTCTTCAGACTCCCATCCCTTGATTGAATCACATTTGCTTCTTGCAATATATTTATGAAGTTTAAGCTTAAAAGTCGCTAATACTTTCCAGAACCGATTTCTGTATTTGCTGGTCCTTGATTTCTTTCGTATTCAGCTGAAACGTGTCTTTTGTGCTATGTTCTTTTCTTTTGCAGCTAACTCAGATGGAATTGTTTCCAGCCTAAAGGAGGCCTGGAGGAATATTTTCCTAGTGGTGGGGTGAGGAGGGACGAGCTCCCATGACCTGTCAGGCTTTACAGTGTACAAATATTTGTAGAACAGGTAAAATCTGTATGCAGTGTATTCGTTGCTCCTTTTGTTTACTGTGGAAGTGCCCGGGCTGATTCCTCCAGCGCTGGCTTTGCCCTCTGCACTGTCCCTGGGAGTTGTCAGGGGGTGGATTTGATGATCTTTTCCATCCTCAGTGGTTCTCTGTGGAGGCTGACACTGAGGGAGCAGAGGAATTCCTTCTGGGACAAAACTCCTGCTGCCCTCAGCCACAAAGCTCCAGTGCAGTGTCCATCCAGTGCAGTGTCCATCCAGTGCAGTGTCTGTCCAGTGCAGTCTGTCCAGTGCAGTGTCTGTCCAGTGCAGTCTGTCCAGTGCAGTCTGTCCAGTGCAGTGTCCATCCAGTGCAGTGTCCATCCAGTGCAGTGTCCATCCAGTGCAGTGTCCAGTGCAGTGTCCGTCCAGTGCAGTGTCCATCCAGTGCAGTGTCCGTCCAGTGCAGTGTCTGTCCAGTGCAGTGTCCAGTGCAGTGTCCGTCCAGTGCAGTGTCCATCCAGTGCAGTGTCCATCCAGTGCAGTGTCCATCCAGTGCAGTGTCCAGTGCAGTGTCCGTCCAGTGCAGTGTCTGTCCAGTGCAGTGTCCGTCCAGTGCAGTGTCCATCCAGTGCAGTCTGTCCAGTGCAGTGTCCAGTGCAGTGTCCGTCCAGTGCAGTGTCCATCCAGTGCAGTGTCCAGTGCAGTCTGTCCAGTGCAGTGTCCATCCAGTGCAGTGTCCATCCAGTGCAGTCTGTCCAGTGCAGTCTGTCCAGTGCAGTCTGTCCAGTGCAGTGTCCATCCACTGCAGTGTCCATCCACTGCAGTGTCCATCCACTGCAGTGTCCAGTGCAGTGTCCGTCCAGTGCAGTCTGTCCAGTGCAGTCTGTCCAGTGCAGTGTCCATCCACTGCAGTGTCCATCCAGTGCAGTCTGTCCAGTGCAGTGTCCGTCCTGCCGAGCTCCCGGGCGCTGCCCCGAGGAACGGTGGCACAGAGGCGATGCTGGAGTTTGGTTCCACTCAAGGGCACAATGGTCAAGCTTCAGTCATTGCTCAGTGGGTGTTTTTTATTTCCTCTCATTGCTTCCCCAATGGGCAAAAGCAAAAAGCTGAAATGCAGGTTTGGAGGTGGGGAGGTGCCTCTGTGTTTCGGTGAATCCATCCCAAGGAGGAGCCCGGCGGGTGAGGGGGCAGGGACACAGCCCCGAGGTCACTTTTCAACCAGGACAGTCCCCTGCACCCCCCCAGCACAATTCCTGTGTGACTGGTGGGGGTTTTGTAACCAGATTTTGGAAATCACTACAATTTTTGCATGCTGAATAGCTATTTATATACATATATATTTTATATATATATATATATATAAAATTATATATATCACAAATGCAGGCCACGTGTCCAGTTCAGCTTTGCTTTTGACAAATGAAATACTTAATAAAAATGAATGTTGCAAAGAGGTTTTTTTTTTTTTTGGAAAGACATCTATTTAATTTTTTTTTTTTTAATTACACACCTTTGATGTAAAAAGTAAGAATTGGTTAGACAAAAAAGCATATATACTACAGATAAATCTTTATTAGAAACCACATTAGATACAGGTGGTATGGAATTTTTAAATGTTTGTTACATAGCATGGACATTTTATTTTACATATCAGAACATAAAGTCATTTTACTACTACAAGCTGTCTCTGGGTGCATTTCAATAATTAGTATAAAAATGTTCCATGGTGAATTAAGATGCCTCGTCTCTCTTCTGTCTCCTGCTGCCTGACTACACCAACCTCACACTTCCTAAGGTCACTCCTGACCCTTTTTGCACCATCTCAAAGCTCCAGCATTGGGTTTTAGGTGCTCCTGGGTTTATTCGGGATGTTTGTGGTGTTTCAGGGCTCACAAGAATTGACCTGAGCAGCACTGATCTCGTTCCTGTGCCCGGCTGCAGCTCAGTTCCAGGGCCAGTGGTGAGGAGTTAAAGGTGGGAGGGGGGAGAGCTCTGGGGGTGTCACTGCCCAGGATTTGCAATGCTCAGCTCGTTTCTCACCGTGACACTGGATCAACACTGAACCAGACAAATGGAACCCAAAAATGAGTGGGGTCAGCGGCCCAGGCTGCAAAGGAAAATCTGCCTGGATCTTTTACAAAGGTGGCCAACACAATAACAATGGCATTTTTTAATGAATAATCACTGCTGCTATTTTAAACCATTTTTCATGTACCTTCTGCTTGTCCATGCAATATTTATTGATTTAAAAAGTAATTCCTGTAAGACCAATGCCAGAACCTTTCAGTCAATGCAGGGAGTGTAGAGAAATCTCCATCATGTAATTAATGCAAGTTTTACCTGGCAGCCTTTGCAAAGGGCAGGGCCCAGGCTCTGTCCCACAGCAGCCACTGGAGCTGAGTGAGTGCCCTGGGAATCCCTGTGCCAAACAATGATCCTTTCCTTATAAAAATAGCACGGGATATTTATGAGTACAGGGCCTGATTGGGAAAGGCTGAGTTAGCATAAAAATGTGCAACATTTGGATATATGCTAATCTGGTCATTTGGGTTCCTTTTATAGTCACTGGAGAGAGATCAGACACTGAGATTAAATGGGATGAATCATTCTCCAGTGACGATCTTTTTCCACTCAGAGGAATCCAGTTCAGCCACTTAGAGCAGATTTCCCATTTCCAAATGGCTAAAAATTCATATTAGTAGGATCCCCCTCCTGTGTGACTTTGACAAAAACATTGAGACATCATTGAATTATTTACATTACAAATCCCACTCGAGCTGAGCACAGGCTAAAAACACCCAACTGGCTGTATTAATTTATGGGATGGAAACAGGTTGTTCTTTTTTAGTTTGCTTTATGTTTTCATTGCAAGATTTCTAACCTGGCTAAGTGTCCAGTCCCAATCCCAGGCTCCCAGGTGAGGCACCCAGGTTCCATTTGATTTCTCCTGCTTTTCTTCCCACCTGGAAAGGCTTGGCAGGTGCTGATCCTGACTGAGATCCTGGTTGAGCAGGATCATTCCCAGGGATGAAGCAGAGCTCAGCGATCCTGAGTGTCCTGGAGGATTTGCTCTGTTTGTTTTTCAAATCAGAAACACTAAACTGGGGACATGACTAAAAAAAAAAATCCCAACAACCTGCACAGCTTTAAAAGAGATCAAGTGTGCTTACTGTGTCCCAGTTTGATTTACTACAGTTTAAACAGCTTTTAATTCTCAAGAATGTGGAGGTTCATGTGTGTGGAGGCTTTTCCAGCCCTGGAGTTGCAGCGGGAATGGCAATCCAAGCTCAGGGAAACCAGGCCCATTTCAAATCAGATTAAAGCAAAAATTAGCAAGTGAGAAAAACCTGAATACACACGAGGACTGTTTTCCATTGATGTGCTCTAATCTGTACTAAAAAGCCCAGGGAATTTTTTTAATTCTGTTTTTCTTTAAGGTAGATGTCCAAATTCAATCTTGGCTCAGGCAGGCTCAGTTCCACCGAGCCCAGCAGCTCTCGGTGCCAGACTGAGCCTGGACTTCCCTCTAAATAGAACAAATATTTGTATCAGCTTGCTGAGAATGTGAGTAATAGGAATATTTGCCAAAATTTAAACAAGCTAAACTTCAGTCCTGCCAAAAGCCCCACCATTCAATTTGGCATCACTGGCAGCTCACCGGCTCAAGAGGGGCCTAAGTCTGGAAGAGCTGGGGTGTTTTTGGCAAACATGAATTTATTTTTCTCTCTCTCCACATTTTGGAAAATTTGTGCCTCTCTGTATTAATTTATGATGTCATTAAATAATTCTTTTTGCAGCTTGTATAGAAAGAATGTCTCTTTTGAAGATGAGAACTCCCCTGAGGATGGTTATAGTGAAAAATTCCAGCCAGAGGGAAAAAAAAACCCTCCTCTCTCTTTGGCCACTCATGTTTCTGCAGTAGTGCTTAAACAGCAAAAAAATCAATAATATTTTAATTTAAGGACCTGCTCCAAGGAGGTGCCATGCACTTGACTGGGACAAGAGGCAGCCTAAATTCAGTGTGATTAGAGGGGTTTTATTCCTGTGATAGCAGCTGGGAGGGAAATCATGA